AATTAATTATTAAATTGAAAACTATGTTTTATGTTTATAATTTTATATTATGGTTTTGTTGATAAAAAGTTCCTTATAAACATTTAAATATTGATTTATTTTGTTACTAGACAAAGCAATTTTTTATTAATTTTTAAATAATAAGTATTCCTTACTATTATTTATGTATTATATTTGTTTAGATTTTATATGTTAATAAAAAGTTACTTATAATCATTTTAAAATATATTTTGAACTTAACTACATTGTGTCTTTCAGTTTTTGTATAATATTGACTTTACTAATGCGATTGTTGAGCTACGCCAGTGATAATATTATGTGCGCAACTCATATACTATATTATCAATATTTTTCACTTATCACTTATCATGGTTTATAGGAATTCTGGTTATCATTGTAATAGTGTTTTATCCGTAGACCTTATACTAGTAGACGGAGCATACATGGTTGGCGGGGTTGGGTAGTGCGGTCATGGCAATATGCGTTACAGTGATGCCATCACGAGTAGTACAAATATTTATTCATCCGACACATAATATTTTTTACAATATTCCACCACGGTCTAAAATTATAAGTTCTTCATTAAATAGTAATTACTATATTTTTATAGTATTAGGGATAAGCGATTATAGAAAGTGGATCAAACTTTTGACATTTTATACATCAAATGTTACAAAAAAAAAACATAATTTGGTGCTAATACCACGTTTAATACACACAATTTTATTTAAATAAAAATAAAAACACAAATTAATACATCACATTACTCCATACACATATTTTAGGTATAATTTATAATATATCTATGTAGACTTCATACTCCTTGACAAATATCTTATTTATTCTATAAAATATGTAAATACTAAAATAATCATGTAAGATAATTCCACATATTGTAGGTATTATAAAAGTGGCAAAAGAAAAAAAAATAACAAGATATACAAATAATTAACAAAATATAAATAATGTAATAAAATAAACATCCTAAAGTATCAAATTCATTCGTTTCTGAAGAGTATAAGTTTTGTCAATTTTTTTCTCAGTTTTATATCATTACTTTTAGTTTTTATTTTAGAAGCATGATGAAGTCTTAAATCCAAATATTTATTAATTATTAAAGCAATAATTTGATTTTTGTGATCATTAAATAATTGCTGACCAATGCAATGGTCATTCATAATGCTAAATATATTATTTTTATACACAATGTTCTGTATTTGATAAAATAATTTTTTCTTTTGATTCCTGGTAAAAACACATTAGGACAAGAACGAAACTCACGCTCAGCTGTTGCACAGATATAAATTGCATCACAAGAAGGCTTTATCAAAGCATTATTTCTATCTTTTAAAATTATTAATAGATTTTCTGTACTTCTTTCACTCAAAAACTGAATGCAAATATTACAATTAATTTTTTTAATTACTTGTTTTACTACAAAACCTGCAATGTACGTGCTTACATTTTCGACAAACGGAGTGAGTCTACAAATTGTCTCTAAATAATTGTGATCATGCTCCACTGACATAGTTATATTATCATTAACCTTTTCTGTTTCAATGCTAGAATCAATAATGGAATCAGGACCTAAATTAACAATTGATAACTCTGTTGGATCTAATATAGAAATGCAATTACCATATTGAGAGCCACTAACTTGATTATGAATCAAGAGCTTTTTATAAGCACTACAAAATTGTTTTGCTGATGGGTTGTTGTTATAACCTCCACGAATTCGAATTGAACTAAAAAAAGTTTCTAAGTGGTCTTGTGACAATTTGAAAGATAGCAAATACTTCAAAGCATAATTTATACTTAGGTATGAATATAATTTTAAAAGGTTTTTTAAGCATTGGACCAAACCAATAAACCCTGTTTTTCTTCCAGATTCTATAACTAATTTGCCACAGTCTAATTTCAAATTAAAAATATACCTTTCAAAATAATTAATAAATATTTTGTACTTGTCTAATGTTTCTGTATTTAAAGCAAGATTATAAGGATTTTTTGAAAAAAATGATCTGCAATTTAAAATATCAAAAGCATTATTGATTAAAGCACAGAACTCTGCAGTAGCATCTAATTCATCAAATTTTGGATCACCCAAAGCTTTACAAAACTTAAGTGCATTGGACACACTATTGCTAAAAACCTGTGAAGCTAACTTAACGTTCATTTTTTCATTATGATAAGTAATATGACGTTGGGTTAGTTTTGTAGCTGCAGTCAACCCTTCATATTTTTGCTTTAAATGTAAGTTTTTTTATAAAAACCCATTTAATTGTACTTCCATTTTCATAATAAAAACATTTTTTGTCACCTAAAGTATTTCTGACCAACTTAAGCATATGACATGGATCATAAAAAATATAAACTGGTTATTTTGAAACAGGATGTAAAAAAAAAAAGTTTTCTTCTTCTTTTAAATCAAAAGAACTACCCAGAACTCTACACATGGCAATATTAGTATAGGCACCATCAAATGTAATAGAATGTACTTTTGAATTTGTATCTGACATAAGTTCTAAACATTTAACCAACAAATTTCCACGCTCCGCACCATTTAAACCATTAATAAAAAAATACCCTATAGGCATTTTCCAATGTCCGTTAATTCCAACAGCCATAAAAACTAAAGCATTTTTAGCATGAGGTAAATCATCACTAAGGAACGGATTTTATTGTAAATACATATTTTTATTGGAATGAGATATTTTTAATCTGATAAAAAATGTGCACGATTCAGACCATTCTTATTAAAATAAGCCCAATTTTATTTTACATATTTTTACATATTTTTACATATTTGGGTAAACATACATATTTTTACATATTTGGGTAAAAATACATATTTTTACATATTTGGGTAAAAATACATATTTTTACATATTTGGGTAAAAATACATATATTCGCATATTTTGTAAATAACTGAATATTTCGTAAATATTTGGGTATTTTTGGTTTTTTTCGTCAATTCACGTCAAAGATTATTTGCCTTATCTTAATGGCATTCAGATACCCTATGGTCTATATATTAATATTATACGCTATCGACGAAAGCCTAAAATAATAATATTTGTAATTTTCAATGACGATAAACATTATCTACGTTCTCTAAATGGACTTACGTACTTTATACACTGCTATCGTATTATACACTGTGGACAAGTGTGAAGTGGGTAGTTAACATGTTTATTCAATGTTACGGTCTTCAGTCTTCAGTCTAGTTACTGTTCTGGCGGGAGTAATCATTTGCATCGTTTTTTTCTTCATATCTACATCGAAATATTGTTGTTTTTTTTATAAAATTGTTTAAAATACCTAAAGTTGTAAGTTCATTCAATAATAAGGTAGAAGCATATTTAAAATAATTTCCGAATGAAACATTTCAAAGTGATGGGAAAGTTTTATACTGTAAATGTTGTGAAAAATCGGGGTTATTAACTATCATTACGTCAGTTGATGTGTAACGTTCATTCAGTCAATACAAACATTTTACGACCAAATCGCCGCCATTTTACGTTTTTAAATCTTAGAGAATATGTAGTTTCGCATTGTTTTAATAATTATTAATTAGATAAGAGATACAATTGTTATACTTACTTTTGGTACTTATTTTTTCTGTTAAGCGGTTATTGCATATTTTGAATTTATTTTTACATATTTCAATAAAAATAATTACATATTTATGTACATATTTTGATTTTTTTATTACAATAAAATCCGTTCCCTAATCATCACATTCAATTGAAATACCTGTGCCTAAGTCAACAAAACCATACATGTTTTTACCATCCCATTCAATGTTTTCTCTAATTGTCATTTCATCTACAACTAAGTTGAATAATACGGTACTATGTTCTGCTTTAGATTTAATTGTCATAAATGCCTCTTTAGAAAACCAAGGTTGTCCATTAATTACCTGGTACCATTTTGAAATGGTTTTGGGATGCGGTAAGACATTTTTAAATTGTTTTCTAACAAAATTGTATGCCTTATTGGAGTAAAATTGTAATGTAATAGAAAATTTTCTCAACTCATCTGAAAAAGGAACCTTTTGACCACATAGTTTTCTGTTAACTATATCACGTAACGTTTCTGATCCAGATAACTAATAACAAAAACATATTAACAATATAAAGTCAAATATGTTAATATAATTTGTATTTGAAATATACCTATTATGCATAGGCGTAATTCGGGGGTGGCAAGGGGTGGCAGTTGCCACCCTAGAATTCTCAAACCCAGTATTTTGTCACCCCAGAATTTTGAAGTAAAAGTCTCAATAAATTACAAATACCTAATTGAAAAATACCCTGTAAATGAAATATAGTATAATTCTCATCGATAATAAAAATAATAATAAAATATTTTAAAGAAATATATTTTTAGAATAATTGTAGGTATCTACCATGACAAAATATACATGTTCATATATACAAAATGTATACAAAAATTATAGTCATTATTAGCATCGCGACAACGATACCACACGTCGCGCTACGGTACTATAGTTTCCTGGGAAGTTATCGGTTATTTTTAGTTTCTACTTCGAATGATATAACTGATATTTTTACAATATATTTGGTCAACGTTTATTGCTGGTACAGTTTGATGTCAGACGTCAGTATTGATGTGTAAAGATTGAACTGAGACAGTGAGACATGGTAAGTTAATTTTAGTTATTTCATAATATGTTTAACTAGTGATGTGAAAATACAGTATTTAATTTACTTTATATAATACAGTGTGTATCAAACTATGACATAATTAATTTTTGTATTATACACTGAACAATAATCAAATTCTTATATTTTATTATATACACAAATTTTGAAATTGCACGATGACAATATATCGTAAAAATTATGCGCGTTTGTAAGTCGCTTATTGTCAGTAAGTAAAAATAAACAAATAGTAATCACGGGACACGGGTTATTCATAATACGTAAACCGTAAACGTAATCGATGTACTTTTATTTTTTTATAATCGTACATTATGTTTGATGTTATGACAGGTTTCCCTAAATTTTGTTTACTTGTAAATCATTATTATTTTTTATCAACGTGTTCTTTATTTTGCAATAATTCACAAATATCACACTTATACGGTCTATCTATATACAGTGTTATGGTGATACGATAACGATCGACAATAGTCAATCGTTTTCTTTGATATGCAGATAATATTATTTTTTTAGATTGCAGCGGTGACGGTGAGTTTACATTTTTTCCTGCGTCCGCCCTTCACATATCTGAATGCAATTTTTTAATAATTTAGTTACATTTAAACTGTGGTTTAGAGCTTTACATGTATTGTGTAATGTGAAATGTTTATTATTTTTTCCTTAATGAGGTAATATTATACATTGAAAATTTAATATGTTTGTAACTTAGTACTAACATTGTCCTCGCAACAAAACAAAACCGGTGAGTTGACTTAAATTATATTCAAATATAGATATTTTATGTAATTTACTTTATTTTTAATGATAATCTTTTTATTTTTAATTAGATAATTTTCAAATAAATGTTGTATTACATAATATTCCCTACAAATTGTTCACGCGCCGCCACTGAATATATTTATAAACCGTAAAAAAAAAATTCATATATTCCATTACGCTTTTAAATATTCCATAAATAATTTCAAATTAAAATAAAATATAAACATTTTAAAGTGGCTCTAATTATCGTAAATCGACATTAATTCGCTATAATATAATTAGTATTAATGTTTATTATATATGAAAAAGAGTGCAAACACTTTAGCTTAATGGGTTAGGCTTGAACTCGGTACAGTCGCATTCTTTGCTTTTAATTAAACCACCGCACTACAAGTACCGCGCTCAAAATTCTATACTTGACTCAAAATTAATCAAATGTTTTTGAATTTTTAAATGTTTTCAAAACCATATTAATTGTAAAGGCATATAAAAATTTGTATTATGTCATCTTTTCTTACGGGTTTTTTCCCAGGCTCAGCAAAACAAAAAAGGGCAGAGTTCGTTGCTGTCCTACTTTAGCACAGACACACCAAGCAAAAAGAAACGGTTTGAAGATAAAGCGCCAGAAGGTGTTGTTTTGGAACATGAACTAGAACCAAATGTAGAAGATGTATCAGGCTCGTCATACGCTCAGTCAACCGCAACTACTAAGCACATTGCTCCTATAGATGAAATTCAGAGGCCCAGCTGTTCCTCTAGTTCAACTAGTCAGTTGGAAATTGGTCTAATTAATAAACGTGATCCTGCTCATGGTCCAAGTATGGCTAAAGTGTGTTTTGGGGAAGGCTCATTTCAACCACGGGATTTTAATTTCCCTAAAACAGATGGTAGGAAATTTAGACCGGAGTGGTATACAATTTTTTCTTGGCTGGAATATAGTCTTCTAACCGATAAAGCCTTCTGTTTTGTATGTCGTTCGTTCTACAACTCAGAAGGTAGAAATAATGCAGAAGATGTATTTACACTCATTGGATTTTCCAAATGGAAGAAAGCTGTAAAAGTATTTGAGAAACATGAGAAGAGTAACTCACACCAAAGTAATAACATAAAACTCAATTGTCTAAAAGAAGCGAACAAAAGTGGCACTGTTATTGAAAAAGTGAATCAAAAGTATTCAGAAGAAGTACAAGAAAATAGATTGTACTTAGAAGCTTTGTGTGAATCGTTGATATTTTGTGGCAGACAATCTATTGCTCTAAGAGGTCATGATGAATCTACAGATTCAAAGAACAGAGGAAACTTTTTGGAGTTAATGAAGCTTCGTTCCAAAGATAACAGTTTAATAAAAAAATTCTTCATGGAGCATCGTAAAAATTTTCAGTATACTTCAGCAACTTTTCAGAATGAGCTACTGTCCATTATTGGGGAACAAATTAAGTGTCACATAGCTAAAGAAGTTAAAGAGGCTGAGGTTTTTGCAATTATAGCTGATGAAACTCAAGATATAGCAAAGCACGAACAAGATTGTCTTGAGATATGTTAATGAAAAGTTAGAAGTTCATGAGTCATTTGTGGGGTTTTATCGTGCTAAAAGAACTGATGGCAAAACACTGGCAAATGAACTTAAAAATGTTTTGATTTCAATGGATTTGAACATTAAAAATCTGCGTGCTCAGTGCTATGATGGGGCATCGAACATGAGGGGCCCATACAAAGGAGTGGCAGCTATAATTATGCAAGAAGCCCCAATGGCAATGTACATTCACTGCAATGCACATATATTGAACTTGTGCATTGTTACCTGTTGCACGCGCGTGCCTTCAATTAGAAATACGTTCTTTGTACTTCAAAGTATTTACAACTTCATTGAGAAATCAACTAAACGACATGCTATTTTTGAAAACATTAAAAGAAGTTTCCAAGGCTTTAGTGGTGGAACATCAACATTGAAATCTTTGAGTGATACCAGATGGGCTTGCCGTGTCGAAGCAGTGCGTTCTTTATTAGATAATTTTGATACCACTCTTGCAACTCTACGAGAAATTTCTGATACAGACCCTGATAGTGGTGGACAAGCCAATGCTTTGTTGAAAAATCTGGAGGAATTCAACTTCGTATTTGACCTGCTATTACTGAGGAGAGTTCTAGCCCAATGTGACATACTATCAAAAACTCTTCAGTCAAGCAGTGTTACCTACGAAATTGTGAAATCTGTAAGAAACGGCACACTTGAAGTATTGAAATCCTTCAGAACAGACGAGTTTTTCTCAAAGTTGTTCAATCACTCTACAGAAATCGCTGACAAGTGCGGATTTAGAGCTGCTCAGTTACCAAGACAGGGAAAAATCCCCTCGAAAATTGGGGGAGGGAGTAAAGCCCCATTTGAATCTGTAGAGCAGTACTACAAAGTTTCAATTGTCTGGCCAGTTATTGATATCCTAAGCGAGGAGATAGAGGCCAGACTTCAAGAAAACAACCTGGATGTACTTAACAATCTAAGCAAAGTTCTAGGTGGAACTGATGAAGATACAGCCAGTGTTAAGTATGTGTGTAAATATTACAATTTAGACAATGAACATCTTTTGTCTGAATTGAGATGTTTCTATAAAATGGAAGAATCAAGAAACACAACTATTCAAGAAGGAGCTGACGTTTTTGTACAAAAATCTTTAAAAAGTGTGTTCCCTATGCTTTTTAAACTTTTTCGTCTGTTTTTTACGATTCCAATGAACTCGGCATCTTGTGAGAGGTCTTTTTCGTGCTTGCGACGGTTAAAAACATACACCAGAAACAAGATTGGCCAGGAGAGGTTGTCCTCGTTAGCACTTTTGGCTATTGAAAGAAGTATTGAAGTAAACATTTCCAAAGTGATGGACGACTTTAATTTAAGCCAGAAGAGAAGACTTAATTTTGTGTAAAAATAATTAAAGTATGCTATAAATTAAAAATTTTTTTTTTTATCATGTTTACTTGATTTATCCTTTTTTTATAAACAAATGGGCCAGGCACACATAAATTAAAATTAGGTACATTTTTATGTTGTGTGTGACCGATAATTATTTTACATGTGGTTGAATTAATAATTCAAGTCATTATAAATTATTTTTTTTAGGATAAATTGTTAGCAATTACATTTTTACAGAAATAGTCTGAATGAGTTTCAAAAAATAAGAAATTTAGAGCCAGTTTTTGAAAAAAAAAATCGGGAAGGGGCCGGGAATATCCCTCGGACCCCCTTTCACCAGGGGTATTCCTTACCACCCGATACGTCTTGCCACCTTAGTTTAAAATGTGAAATGACGCCCCTGCTATTATGTTATCATAAGTTCTTAAGAAATCTTTATTAGAGGTATCCAAATAAAACAATTGATCATTATTAATGTTAGTAATTTTTATTATTTGTCAATTAACAACATAAAATATCATATTAACTCCATCAACCTAATACTAGTAAAAGGTCTATGATTAGATCTAACTAATTACACAAACACAAAAAAACAATTTACTACATAAATAAAAAATATAATAAAATAAAAATATAATATAATATAAAATAATACAAAATACGAATTATATAGTCTGATAGTCAATGGCCAATCTGCTGAATAAAACATGAAAGTGGCAGAATACATATTTTTAATATATAATATTTATATTTATTATTATCAACTGTAATAAATATAATTGTATTAAGAGTAATTTTTTAAAAGTTAGACTAGATACAAGAAGCTAAAAGTTAGAAAAAAAAAAAATTATAATACCTACTTCAATAGCTAGAAAACATGCCTATTGCCTGTATAAAAAATGTAAAATAGTCGAAATGTTAAACAATCACAAATTACACACAACACAAAAAAAAAAAAATTTTAAATATTGTTAGAAACTGACCTGAAGTTGATCAGCTGCATTTTCAGACAGTAATTGCTTATTTTTTAAAGCCGTAATTAAATCTTCATATGACTTCACTTTATTTTTAAGGCGGTTTAATTGTTTTCTCAATATATGAGTTTTCATCTGATTTTTATAAAATTTTTGTTTGACCATTTTTAAATGCCTTCCTGCTTTATTAGGTGTGGAAAAATGATTAACATCTAAATCCCCAATATTGTGAGCATTTAAAATTCTACGTTTTTTAGCTACGCTTGGAGGTGAAGAAAACAATTTCTTCCGTGTAGGTGTTCTACAAACAAACAATTAATAATAGTGAGGCGTGGACTGGTAAAAAAGGGCATGGGATGCTACATATTTTAAAGGGAAATTAATTTAGGTTATTTATAAAAACGTAAATAGGTACCAAATTACAACAAACATTCAAACAAAGTTGTACAAGATTACTAACTTCTACAGTTGTATGGTAAAAAAATTAAAATATTAGTGCAAGGGATGCTGTAGCATTATCCCAGCCAGTCCGCGCATGGTAATAGTATCATATCACTTCCTACATTACATTTATCATACTTGGGGGTAGATTACTGATTAAATATTCACATACTTTAATACTAACCTTTGTTGTGAGATAGCAGCTGAACTATCAGATTCCAATGCAGTTTGAGAACTTACCATACTTAAATCATGAACTGTATTTTTATCAAGTTGACTAAAAAAATCAGCAATACTGAACAATAATAATTATATATTATAAAATATTAAATACATACCTAGTTACAGCATAAGATGATAATCTTACACTTGGTACTGCATTTTTTTTTAACAAGCCATTTGGTTGCACTTGTTCAGGTAAAAAATGGTTGGAGCAAACTCTGTAAGATGGAAGGCACAGTTTTACCTGACATTCTATCATCCATGATTTTTTAAGGCTTTGATCTTTAGGAAATCTAAAAAGATCATTGTTGGCATAATAGTACATGACAAAATACTAGTATTAAAACATCGACTTACGAGTGAAATGAAAAAGCAGAATTTACACTTTCTGGTATTTTACAGATAATGCATTTCCGGCCCATGTTCCTTGTTAACAAGACTCGTTATTAAAATTAAAAATTCAAATTCTAAACGAATAATATAATTATTTATATAAACGAATATTCGATTTGAATAATGGAATCATTCCAACATAATATAATTATTTTCTTACACTATACTACTTATTTATAAATATTATATTTATATGTATACGATATATCGTACAATATTATGGATATGAAATTTATCGGGCGTCGCTAGTGCGCATGTGCGCTGTGCATCTGTACTTCGTGAGACGCTGCCTGTCGTGACCGCTGTGAACTACCCAATGCTCCGTCTACTAGTATAAGGTCTATGGTTTTATCCACCTTAATAGTTTTATTGTGGTGTAATCACCGAAGGGCGTCGTTCATAACCGCACACTTTCAAAAACAGGTCGACGCTTTCTTATCTTAATAAGTATATGTCCGCCAAATTAAACCGTTCAATACCGCACACATTGATATATATCAATAACGTATACATTTATCTTAAATAATATTATCGTTTAGTACCGCACACCAGTTAATCATATTTAATCAAGATCACAAAATAATAAAAATTATAAGGAAAGAATTATGTACGTATTCAGTGAGTGCAGATAATATTGATGCTATAAGACAGTCTATGTATCGTGAAAGACGAAAACTTCTACCCCCTGTGCCTGTGTCACTCTCAGATGCTCTTAGTAAGGTAAAGGAATCAAACATCACACTAAATAATGGTGAACAATTTGTGTTTGTGAATGAGTCCACTGAAATAATAATAGTGGCATGTAAAACAAATCTTCAATTTTTATGAAATGAAATAAAATTTATATTAGCAGACGGAACTTTTACTTATTGCCCGAAACATTTTTATCAACAATATACCATCCACGGCGCTTGTAAAAATTATTACGTACCACTTGTTTTTTGTTTTTTGTCGTCAAAAACAAAAGATATTTATAAACAAATGTGGGAAACAATAAAAGACGTATGTTTAAATAATGCCAATAGTGTATTCTAGCCTTCACTCTTACTATTAGATTTTGAACTTGGTGCTCACATTGCTGCTAAAGAAGTATTTCCTTTAATTATTATTAAAGCCTGTCGTTTCCACCTTGGTCAAGCATGGTACAGAAAAATCAGTTCCATTCCAATATTAAAAAAAAACTACGACGATAAAAATTCACAATCTGGACTATGGTTAAAACTTTTTTTGGTTTGCCTTATTTGCCATCACATATGATTTCTGACTTTCTGAGGCGTTTATTGAGATAATGGCTACTTGTCCAGAAGAAAAACAATATTATGATTTTGCTGAATACATATTGGATAATTATATTGAGACTAATAATTTTTCACCAATGTTGTGGGCAGAAGAGACCAATAAAAGTACAAGAACGACGAACGGTGCAGAAAGTTACCATAGTCAACTTAGGCATGAATTCTATGTTCCACATCCTACTATAGTTCATTCAGTAAGAATATGAATTTAAAATAATAATTATATTTTGAGTTATTATTAAATTAAATGTTTTTTTTCTTCCAGATAGATGTGTCAAAACAACAACAAATAATTACTGAACCCAAATTTCTC